GTTAAAAATCATTTTCAAATAAGTTTAACTAATATATCGCGTTTTAAACAGTTAAAGTGTTTTATTTATAGTGTATACTTTAGTAAACTATAGTTCCTGGAAAGGGTTTGATGCCTCCGCACATCACCTAACTTCACCAACTATCACAAAACTGTATAAATCGTGTGTCGGCTGGAAAACGGAATGAATATTTCCTATACTGTTTTTTAAAGTTTGTTGTATAGAAAAACGGAAAAATCGTGAAATAATTAAAAGTCCCACAGCTGGACACCTAAGTGGGTGTCAGATTGCTTTAATGAAAGTTGGCAGGCTTTTAAGAACTGTATACGTGGTAATAACCGAGATGGAGCGCCGAAGCTTGGTGCAGTAATAAAAGAATTTTGGTCCAAGTCTGAATGGTATATCATGGTAATCAACAGTTTTTCGATTCTTAGAACGTACATGATTCAAAATTCTATATATATTTTTAAACTTGTTGAATTTCGTCTGAAAATCTAGATATTAATAGATATAATAGACATAATTGTGATAGGAATATCATAATTTTGTTTTGTACCTCTAAAGTGGCGAGAACGACGCGACAGGACGGAGAGTCGTGGATTATGAAGCTGAAGAGGTTGTTTGCAAAATAAATAATATTATACCAAAAATTTCACGCAGACGAAGTCGCGAGCACAGCTAATAAACAAATAAAAATATAATTACATTTTATCCCCATATCTTTTACGTATGAAATATGGGGGAAAACATTTACAAAAGTATTATAATTTGCTGATAGACAATACTCTGACTCCTGATACTAAAACTGATGATGTGACAAGTTGGAGAATGTTGGGAATACGAGAAGCATTATTGAGCCCTCGGCAGGGAACTTCCGTTTTCTTTGCATGACTTGCTGAGATAGTTGTTTGGATGAAATATTTCGGGAAAATAATGTTATTGTCTATGATTACGGGTCATTTTTCATAACAAGTTTGTGTGCTTAGGCGGAAAGGTTTGTTGTCTGAAATAAGTCGACTGTTTTGAGAATAAATTACGAGATATTTCGCTTTAATATTTTACATGTTTTTGATGGAAGGTGAAATACACAGGTGCGCTGTGGACCTGTTTTGGCTTTAGATATTAGGAAATTCACAGACTGAAACCGCTAGGCATTAAAATGGCGTTTTCATCTGTGGACGGCGGTTCGTGAACTATTAAAAAAAATATACATTATTTAAAAGCATGTTAAAAAAAACAAAATAACTTTTTTTAAAAGCATTATATTAACAACTATACTCTTAAGTCTATAATATATGTATGTTGTATACGTATGTTTTGTAAGTTATTTCATATAACGCAAAAATATTGCTCTATTTATGAACTATGAACCGGGAAAACATTTATAATGATTGATATTAGATAATAAATAAACATATGTATTTTACGTGAGTAATAGATACGTTCGAATTTTATCATTCTTGAAGTACTTACTTCGAAAATAAAACATGTTTCAATTAAATTAATCATTTTTTTTTTAACATGCATGTTTCTTTAATAAGTCAAGTAAGTCATCTTATCGATAAAAGTGTCCAACATAATAGAAAAAATAACAAATCTATACTAATATATGTATAAAGCTGAAGAGTTTGTTTGTGTTCGTTGTTTTAACGGGCTAATCTCAGGAACTACCTGTTCGAATTGAAAAATTATTTTTGAGTTAGTTAAAACATTTATCGGGGAAGGCTATAGGATATAAAAAATCTAATCTGCGACTAATAGGTTCAAAGAAACAGTTTTAAATGTGGAGAGAACGGGGAAAATCATCAACATTTCAATATTCAAGCCTTAGTTGCGAAAACGAAAACGGTTCTAGGTACCCAAACAATATATATTATAAAATTAAGTATCTCTCTATTTTTTAGATAAACTAGCAAGAACGACCAGACGCAACCGACGTCGCGGGTAACAGCTTAAATCTATTAAGATGAAGAGGTTTGCACAAACAAATTTTGATCTCCAAAATAACCATTCTATGCGGATGAAATCGCTGAGACAGCTAGCGAGCATAAAATTAACAGAGTAACGAGGAATCCATGATAATATTTCGGCTGTATCAAATAGAATGTAGTAACACGGAGCAAGAGTAAACATTAAATAATTTTCAAATCCAAACGCGAGCGAAGTAGTTCTCAGAGACGATTAAATTACGACACAGCGGCGTGACATCAGCGAAATTTAGTGAATTATTGCAACACTGGATGTATTCAGCTAATGGAATGGAAGTGAACATACAAAGCATTTCTGCTGGCCTCATTATAACGTTAATTATCACACCATTAGTTCACACAACGATGATTTAACGCGCAATAGGCTAAATTATTAGTTAAATTATAGTTTCACTAAGAACTATTAAATATCATTAATTTTCAATTTTTTATTGCGACTTTGTCCGCGTAGAATTAGAATTTTTGGTAGGAAAATTAGTTTTTTCAGACCACTCGTCTCGTCGTTCTTACATGTAAATCTTAAATGATAGAATTAATACAATGTAAGTCTTTTCGAATTACTCGTATTAAGTAATGTCCTTATAACACTGAAATATATTTACATGAAGCTGCTAAAATGCTACACGTGAAAAATTTTGAAATGGTACATTCTAGTTTATTCCAGATGGAATTTTCAAACGTTGCTTCCGTACTTACATTCTACAAAATTCTACTGACGTTAGAATCTCTGTAACGTGTAAAGACATGAAAATTTCAAACATTTCGGCATTCGGTTTATAAGTTACAACTAAGATAAGTATCAAAGTAGAATTTAAATATCCAGTACTAAAAAAAGAGTCATTTATTATTATAACAAATAAGTTGAGTCAGCGACTTCGTCGGCGTAGAATAGTTTTTTTTGGGTATCAAATTTGTTATTGCAAACCTCCTGTTCAACTCTATAAATCTACGCAATTATCCACGACGTCTTCCGCGTCGTGTCGTTCTTGCAAGTTAATCTTATAAGATTGATATGTACTGTTTCAGACATTTGTTAGATCATTTAAAGAGGAATTATACTTTTAATATATATTATTTGGCTATCTTGAACCGTGTTCGCAGCGTACGCAACAAAAACCCACAAGGGTGAACAATTTTTTTCGTGAATCGTTTTTTTCCACATTTCCCGCTGTGTCTTCGCTCCTAGTCGCAGCGCGATGGTTTATTTATCTATAACCTTTCTCGATAAATGCTGTAACCAAAACAAAAAAAATCTAACCTATATTTTTTGAGATTATGAGCATTTAAACAAACAAACAATCTTTATATATTTGTAGTAGTAGATTAGTAACTAGTACTCATATTCATTTACATTATGTGTTTATATGTGAATAATTAAACACCAACATTCACATTTTCCCACCAAACATTAAACAAATGTGTATTATAATAATGACTGTAATAAAGTTAATTAAAATCCCTTATTAACCAAAATCTGAACATTATTTGATTAGGTATAATGTTAGCTGACCCTAAACACACATACATTTCAAATTTTTAGTATTTGAATGTTTTTTGTGCGTAATCCTATTTTAGTTTAGGCATCCGACATTTCGGATGCTTTGCAGCAGCCGTGGTCACCCCGGGCCGTAGTTAAAAATAATTTTCAACCAAGTTTAACTAAAATAGATCGCGTTTTAAACCGTTAAAGTGTTTTATTTAAATGTATGTTTTATTTTGTTTATATACAAAAAATTCTAAGAAATTCAAAATGACTAAGTGTCTATGTTTATATTACTATTATTATTATAATTATCCTGTATTTTTTAATGTTAACAATAAAAACTACTGTTATTTCTCAGAAACGTCGGATGCTGTAAATCATCCGACATCATAATAAATGAATAAGAATTGCACAATACTCGTATAAAACGTGTTATTGTCTGTTTTTTGACACAATTTTTGCTATCAAAATTACTTAAGTAAAAAAATTAAAGTAAAAATTAAAATTCTAATAATATATATTTTTTTATATATATATAATATGACCAGACGTCAGAATTCCGTTTTTTTTTAACTTGGCAAAAAAAGAGTTGTAGAATCATCATTACCTTTAATTTTGGTTTGGACGGAGTCAGAGAAAAAGTAAACGTACACAAATTTAGTCCACTACATCTACAAATATACGGAATGTAATATTGCCTTATTTGTAATACAAAATTATTTCTAAATTAAACAATCTCGAGCTTTCATCAATGTTTAATACATTAAGCAAGGGAAATATAACTTACCGTAACTTCGAACGAAATACAAAGTTTTCTGGCAATTTGATACAATATTTCCCGCTTCTCTCGCACAGAAAACAACGGAGCTGTGAATATAACCGCAGTTCTCTGAATTCTTTATCCATAACTGTTTTATGTTGGTGAAATCTTACCGAAAACTTACGAAAAGAGATTAAGAAGGACGAAGTTTTACGGCTAAACAACGTTGCAATGTTTTTTAAAAGCATCAATAATAAATAATCTTACTTATCAATAATAATTTTATCATCGGTATTTAGAAAAGAAACAATTTTTTGACACAATTATTTTCTAAAGATTCATTTCGATCCAGAATTTAAGATATACTATATTCATTTAATATTTTTTACTCCAACTATGATATGGTGAATAACGCAAAAATTAATTTTCTTGAATATATCTTTATTATAATCTTAACAATTATATTAATATGTAAAATTAACTTAGCAAGATTGAGTACGTACTTGTTTTGTTTATTGACAATTGAAGGAATCATGCTAGATTCACAATTTTTCGTGGTTTATACATACAATACACATAAAAAATTTATTTTAGATTAAAATATATATAGACATTGACGGAACTCGAACTCACAGCTTTCCGTGCTTGTATAAATGAATTGAAAAATCATTAACACCTAACGCCGTGGTGACATCAAACTTCTTTAACGTACAAATTCTCATCGAGTTACAGTAAATACAATCCCACACACACATTTGTAAAATTGAACTTAATTTTCCTTGTTGAAAACAGCGCTGAAATGATAAAAGCAGCGTCATTATAGCGAACAATAACCGCTATCTAGCGCTTTCAGCTACATTACTGACCGCGCGATGAACGTCACTTTATTACCGGTTGTTACGCGTAATTGTAGATATGATTCAACTTGACTTGTGTCTGTCACAAACTTTATTTACAATCTCTCTTCAGCGTGGGAAATCAAAATGGAAACAAGACTTACTTTATAAAATGACGGTACATTCAAAAAGCCTGAGAATAAATTTAAAAATAGATCTCGATTGACACAAGAGCGCAAAAGGTAATCCAAAGATTATAATGTGTATTTTTTCTTACTTGACATTTTTAGTAAACAAACACAATTTACAAGAAATTCATTTTTTTAAATTTCTTAAAAGGTTTACATGGATTTGCACAAAATCACTTTGGACTTTTTTTTACAATTACGCTTTGGATAAAAACTACAATTTCATGCAAATAAAAAAAAAGATCTACGTAAAGGGACACATACAATTTTTTTATGTTTTCCATTTACATAGGGATGGGGATATCCCCAAAGCAAAGACAACGATAATAGAAGAGGCCCCGCTCATGCACGATCGCTGCAAAGCGTTGGAAACGTTGAGTTAAATAATAATGACGTAAACAATAAAAAATGAAGACCGCCAAAAAAGTGATTTAGAATATTGAGGTCGTTTGAACAAAAATTATATCCCTATGTCATCTATAGAATCAACTACACTCTATGAAAGGTCTCTATAGTTTGACATTGGCCGCAGTTGTTGTGGTCTTTTCTTAAGTTAGAAAAAGTCGAAGGCTGGATGATAAGTCCACGTCATAGTTCAAAATAGAGTACTTACTAAATAGGGATTTGGTTTAGTCAATAAGTAAATGAAATTAAATGCAAAAATGTTAAATTGATCGTGTGAATGCAATTATGGGCATGAATAGAACTATAAACAAATATTCGCCGACCGCAGACCGCTAGCGCCCTCTACGATTAAACATGGATGCTCATACCGATAAACCTCTAAAGTCTAATCGATTTGTATGCGTCCAATTTTCCATCATATTATTTAAATGCTCTTAAAGTGGTGGCAAAAGGCGAGAAAGCTGTGAAATTTACATAGAGCGCTGTAAGCACAAACAGGTGTAATTCTGTAGGAGAATTGGTTGTTTATTTTGTATTCAAACCAACAACTAATGCAAAAAAAAATAGTTAATGCAAAAAACTATAAAGTTCTTTTAATCTAGAAACTTATGTATAGGTTGATAAATTTCTTAGTCTACCTTGGTAGGAATATGTGTATTTCTTTATTTCTATATTTTTCTTACTTTACAATTTCGTTTCTAGTCCTCGATTTTAATTGTGTCAAATTTATAGGTTTAATCAAATAAATATGTACTAAATAAGATTGGGGTAAATTAGACCGTTTCTGTGTTGATATCCAAATTATGATAGTTTTTCAACGCCAAAAATAATATTGTTATTGTAAATATTAAGACTTTTCCACTAACTAAGAATGGTTTAACAAAAATAAAATTTAATATCATTCAATACATATAACAAAAACGAAAAACTCATTTTGTATGTATAAATTCACCATTTTAAATCGATGATAAATCATAGATAATTAATACTTGTTATAATCTTTATTAATAACGTACATTACAAATAATTGTCATAAATAACAAATACACTGGTCACTATTTCTCGGCGTGCGAGATTTAACAAAACACAAATAACAGAATTGTTACCTTAAACTATGAGGTACTAACTTATACTATCACAGATAAACATCACTCGTATGCTCTTACGCGTACCTTTCTCTAACTCTCGCGAACATTTCAGCTGAATCCACTTTGTTTGGGCCTTCGTTCTTCCCGAAGAATGTCGTCTTCGTAGTCTTAACAAGGCCGTTGCCACCGTCAGCTGATTTCCTCCAATATACGGTTTGGACAGCGTGACGGCCCGCCAAATACCTCGTCGCGCTTCCAATCAATTGCCTTTTGTCCATCGTTAAGTACCAAACTTTCCACGAATAAAATAAAAGAAGAATAAAGATTCTCAGGTCTTCATTTGTTAAACGCTATTCGTTTCTGGTTAAAAAATACGTTTAGAATCTCCTTATATACGATCCGCGGCGCGTGTATTACACATGTGTGCGTTTGTGTAAACTTTGCACTTTACGCGCACGCGCTCGTTGGTAATTAGTAGGAAACAGATAAAGTACAGTTGGCGAAATGATATTTATCGCCTGTAAACAGTTCTGTGGTGATACAGGCTTCTTTTGTTTGGGGAGCAAATAAAGTTAAGATAAGTGAAATGAGAGTTATGAGATAGTGTTTGGATTGCGCCGAGTTGATTCGACTATAACTCGTCTGGAGCGGGTCTATATCTTGTTTACTTACCTCTGATTAACTCACTTGACTTTGGTTGATATTAAGGCATTTTATCACGCACAATATGTATGTAATGAAAGTCATTCACATTGAACTTGTTATAAAGAAACGCGTTGCAATGTAATGGAAACAAAAAAGTAATTAATTGATGATCTCAGAGAATTTAATACCTAGGCTAGAATTTTAATTGTTTAGGCGAATTTTTGTGGGTAAGCACAATTTTGCATTACCTACTTTTTTTGCCACTTCGCACTACTTCATATCTTAAATTTTAAGTACCATTGACTAACTCGGCTTTCCCATGCATGTTGTTTACTCATGATAAAATAGTTATCTATTGTAAGTAAGACTATAGATTAGAATGGTACTTTGTTGATACAATGATAATATTTAATTATTTTATAACCTCCTGGAATTTGACGGTTTTATTATTTGATCATTCTACTAACACGAGAACTGTTAATATCTGCATAGTTTATGTATATTTTTTTTATAATTGTTTAACTTAGTAACGACCTGCCCAAGTTGTATTTTTTTTAATATATAATCGATTTTCAATTTAATGTCAGTTAATCATAATTAAATGTAGTCAATTAAATTAAGTGTTTAAAAACATATTTTTTTAGAAAGTATTTTCCGTTTTTATTATACAAATTTACTTAAACATTGATATGTTTAACTTATAAGTATAAATACGTTACTTCATAGACGTAATACTTAAATTTATAGATAGTTAACCTATCGAAACGATATTGTAAAAGGGTTTTGTACAAATTTTGGGGTCAAATGATTACTAAGTGACCAGATTACGGGTGAGAATGACCATTACTAGTATTTTGTGAAGTGAATGCCGTTTCAATATAATTACTGTAGCAATAAAAGTGTTTAAACCACGTGGCATTAGGTTTCATTGTAGCGAATTTACAAAACAGCGAAACTGCTTTAACGGTATTATTAAACGCAAAACATTATTTTGTGGATATATTTTTTTTTTATATAGCGAAGAAAATAGGTAATTAAACACTTGGAATAAAGGACGGTGAAATTAAAACTTCATTTACTACAATAGGAAATACTATTCGTCCATTTAGTGAGAAAATAGTGAAAATCTCTATAATGCATAGCGGAAACGAAGTTTTCTATATTATACCCCTACTGTGAATTGATCGCCGGTTGCTAAGCGAGCAGTAATGACTGTTTCATGTTCTTTCTAAGAAAAGTGAAGTATACGTAGTGTTCTCTCTCTATAAATAAAAACCGATAGTTACTAGCTATGTCAGCGTCTTCGTCCAAGTAGAATAGTCAAGTAACTATCTTTGGGCATCAAAATTTGTTTTGTGCAAACTCCTCTCCATCCTTATAAATTTAAAGCTATTACTAACGACGTTGATCGCGTTCCAGTCGTTCTTGCAAGTTAATTTTAAATGATAGACATATCGCGTACATTTTTTTTAGATCATTCAAAGAGGAATCATTATTTTGTACATATTTTTTGTACTTTTACCTTGAAACGGTTTCCCAGCGCACACAACGGAAACCGACGATTTTCTTCACGATTCCCGCTGTTTCTTAGTTACACCGAGATGTTTTATAGCCTATAGCCTATCAAGATAAATGCCGTCAAATTGTTGTCCCGTTTCCCACTGTGGTAAAATATACATCTACCAGGGTCAAACAAATCAAATTTAATACTCTCCACGTCAGGCATAGTCAAGTTGACCGCCCCTTAAACGTCTTGGCCTAATCACTGCATTAACGCGAGAGGTTCTGAGTTTGAATCCTGGGAAAACAATAGATTTTTTAGGTTGGTCAACTTGTAAATAACAAGTGATCAGTGAAATGAACACAGAAATGTGTTCGCCCCATGCCCCACGAGGGGAAATGGGATTTCACATACGTCTGGTATGGGCACCATGTAATAGAAATAGTTGTGTAATATGAAGCCATCTTCTTTGTCAGAATGATGACAACAATACAGTCAATACATAATCTTTCTAGATTTATCTATTCAGACTAACCATAAAATGCAAGCGACATGTGTTCATAAAATTGTTATGATTAAAGTAATCTCTACTAATATTGCAAAACTGTAGAGCCTGTTTGTTTGTTTAAACGTGTGTTAGATAGACAATTTATCAAGAAAGACTTTAGGCTATATTCCGCTGCGAAAAACAGGAGCGAAGAAACTGGAGAATGTGAAAAAACGGTGAAAATTCTCACGTTTTAGGGGTTTAGTTATCTGCGCTACGAATTCGGTTTAAGAAACCAAAAAATATGCGTAAAATTTTTTTTAGACAATTTTGTTTTGTCCCCTTTGAATGATAAAAAAAATGTTCCCTACAGTAGATGTCTCTCCTTTAAGATTAGACGCGTATGCACGGAAGTCGTCGCGTAAAATTTATAAAGTTGAATTTTGATGCACAAAATAACTATTACACGCAAACGAAATCGCGGGCACGGCTAGTCGTCAATAAAATATTAAGTGCGCCATTCGATGTATTAGATACATCGTTCCGTAAAACGTAGGTTATTAGAATGTAATAATCATTACCTCTTATGTTTTGTTACGGGAAAAGGATAAATTGGTCATAGTACAAATAACAACATAAAGGGAGACGATTTATTTTTCTGAAAAGGCTTGTATGTATCGTAATGGCGTAATCTGGAAATTTTATTCTCGATGTTACAGAAGCCACAGCTTCTCATTGTCGATCAACACTTAAGCGCTCTCGTAGCATTGTGTTTAGCATGAAACATCCTGGATTCGAATCCGATCGTTCACAACTGTACCCCAGTTAATAATTACGACAGCAGAATAGCTGGGAAGCTAAAGTAGCCTTTCTAAATGGCCGTATACAGCTTAAATTAATAGTTTTAGTTGAGCAGGGCATAGACTGATCAACTACCTTTTTAAGTACATAAAATCGATTAGGCAAACTGGATACAAAAATTATGGTCGAACAATTTGTGTATTTTTTTTTAATGGCAGTTAATTTTAAGACCAGCGTCTTAGACCTTACAATTCAAGTTGAATACAGGAATACTAGTAACCAAGAGTGTGATGGAAAAATATTGCAGAAATAGTTACATGGAAAACATACAAGGAACATGTGAATACGGCCATTCTTTTCAATTTGCTCACTGAGTTGTACGTGTCTGCGCTCCGAGCTATGTTAAAGTGATGGAAACTCTTTTATTCATATACGCTTTTCATGTTTACTATGTTTTCCATCATCATTAGCCATTTTTATTCTTCGGGGATACAGAATTTACAATTACGTCTAATCGAGGTTTGTTTAACTTACCCTTAATGAAAAATGTGAGTGAGATATACTTGAAATTGTACGCTTTCTACATTTTTACTAATTTCAGTATACGAATCTACCTAGTTATAATAGCTAAAAGGTAATACATCCACTTTTTGTTATGTAACAATTATGATATTTGTATGAAAAATACTTTCTTTGTATATATAGATATATTTAAATTGAATTTACCTTCTAACGTAGCATTATCAATGAGACGGGTTTGTATGTACGTTTATTCATGTTTAAAAATCATGTGATTTCGTTTGAAAATGTACTTTTCTTCATAATTTACTGTCAAGTCTAGAATTAAATAAAAATATCCATAATAAGTTAATTTCTGTTACTTCTATATAACATATTACATTAGGGTCAGCAAATCCATGTATAGATTGATTAGATCATTGAGATTTTCGCAAACTTACGTAGGATTCTTGCAAAGCCAGTGTTAAGCATTAGGGGTTAAACAGATCTTGCTCGTTAAGTTACCTTCAAAGAAAGCCACCGGTTTGATCCGGGTTTAGGCCCACGCTCTACCGACCCAAAGTGAATTGAAATAATATTTCCCTCAAGCCCTTTGAATAAAAACCCGTTGACTGTGTATTTTCTGTAGTCCCCGTGCGCTTATTATCTTTGTCTTGTTTTCCATATATAAATGTTTATATTAAAAATAAGTATATGCTGTGGCAAACGGAAAAATAAACAGCCATTATCAAATAATGATAAATGTTATATACCTAACGATAAAACCTATAATAATATTACGTAAGCCACAATAACTACTTGCTGAATGTTTACGTTCGATAGATACGAGCGATTATGCTGTAATATTCCATAATGTATTCACATTAGCATAAAACGTGTTAGAATTGATTAGCAGATACAAACACGAAAAAATATATAAATAGAAGTACCCATACTTCAGACACAAAAAATAATAACGTTCAAATTTTGACAATAAGTCAACAAACAAACAAAAATATTTATATAATTAAAGGTTTAAAAACTCAACTAGAAAATTCAATTTCGTATACAGGTTTTTGCACTGTGAAATACATCTTTCCCGGTCTCTAAAATAAACAGGAGGCGGACACGTAAGCCGGAAAGTCAAATAAACAATAATAATTAAATACACACGTTGGCTTTCACGGGAAAATATAAAAGCATTACTTTACTCTGGGGCTTGAAAGAATAAACATTATAGCAAATATCCTTCTACCAAAATTTAAAAAAAAACATTGCAGTAAAGGGAACCAGCTTTGGCGTACATTCAATGAAATGTAAAATCTACTTAAGATGGGTTAACGACC